AGTGAAGACAAGGAATCAACTTGACTCCAACTTGTAAATTGCTACAAATTTCAACAAGTGAAGACAAGGAATCAACTTGACTCCAACTTGTAAATTGCTACAAATTTCAACAAGTGAAGACAAGGAATCAACTTGACTCCAACTTGTAAATTGCTACAAATTTCAACAAGTGAAGACAAGGAATCAACTTGACTCCAACTTGTAAATTGCTACAAATTTCAACAAGTGAAGACAAGGAATCAACTTGACTCCAACTTGTAAATTGCTACAAATTTCAACAAGTGAAGACAAGGAATCAACTTGACTCCAACTTGTAAATTGCTACAAATTTCAACATTAAGCATCATCTCGGCTTAACTTCGGTTAAGCATCGTCTTGGTTAAACATCATCTGGGCTTAACTTCGGTTAAGCATCGTTTCGGCTTAACTTCGGTTAAGCATCATATTGGTTTAACCAACTTGTAAATTGCTACAAATTTCAACAAGTGGTAAACGCATTCTTCTTCTCTGCGCCCCCAGTGTGAACTTAAAATCCACTTGGGTTCTCATTATACATGTAGCTTCGACCTTGTCGCCGAGGTTGAATTCAAGCCGAGGTTGTCGGCCTTGGTTTCTCTATTTGGCTCCAATCTGAGTTTGATTTTCGGCCTCGCATCAGCGAGCCGTTTCTTTTTTTTGTTCCGATGCCTTTGTTCCCGGCATGTCCTCCTCGGCCCTAGTATACGTCTCAATTCTAGCCAACTTTAGTCTGATCTTGTGTGTTTCCTTTTTATCTTCTGGGATCTGAGATCTGCTCATTGTGCTATTCTCTTCTTGGACTCAGGTGCCGAGATCTTATCTTCTGGAATCTTGGATCTGCTCACTCAGGTTGAGCACTTCTTTTCTTGGACCTTCTTATCTAGGCCGAGATCATGTCTTCTGGGATCTGGGATCCGAGTTTTGCTCACTCAAGTTGAGCTCTTCTATACTTGAATGTTATCTCCTTGTGCTCATGCCCCCTGTCTTTGCATCCCTTCTGGAAGGGTCTTCGTTCTTCCGCAGGTATCTATCCTTCCATACCTGGAGGTTGTCTTCATTGCTTCGATCTGTGGTCTTTGGTGCGTCACCTTCCTGGCCGGCTTCTTTCACTCCGTGACTCTGGTCACGAGTTTCTGTGTTGTGGTTGTCTCCTTCAAAGGTCAATTGGTCTGCCACTCCCAGCAGGAGTGTCGCCCCCAATGTTTTTTCTCTATCCGTTACTGGCCATCTATTCTTCTAAGTTCCCACAGACGGCCCCAAATTGGGTGGGTGATTTTCTAACCACACTGCCCGCTTAGTAACCAGCTGGAGAGCACCGGCAGAATAGATGGCACCTGGCTGACCTGCAACAGAAAGAGAAGATTCCGGCGGTGGTTCGTCCACCCGGGGGCACTCTGACGATCAAGTCAATATATCTCTCAAAGATAAATCAAGTGCTAAACTCACAAGCTTGAGTATTGAAAGCATACCTTAGACCCATGGGGGTGCCTCTCTTTTATAGCCAATACAATCCTAGTCCCAATAGGAGCCTGGTCCTAATGGACTTAGGATTACTGCTAATCTGGGACTCCCAGTGGAATTAGGATAAACTCTCTGAGAGTCTTATCTTTACCCAAACTGAAGTCTTCTCTTCATTCTAGGACTCTTGTCCTTCATCCAGGTTGAGTTCCCTTTTCATTCTAGGACTCTTGTCCCTTATCCACTTATCTCCGATTCCGATATCTTCGGAGATAACCTTGGCCTTGCCGAGATCACCTCGGCGTCACGACCAGGACACATTACTGCTAATCTTGGACTCCCAGTAAGATTAGGATAAACTCTCTAAGAGTCTTATCTTAATACAAACTGAAGTCTTCTCTCATTCTAGAACTCTTGTCCCTTATCCACTTATCTCAAATTCCGATATCTTCGGAGATAACCTCGGCTTTACGGAGATCACGTCGGCGTCACGACCAGGACACGTGGCACCTCGGCTGACACGTCGGCATCACCTTGCCACGTGTTGGTACTCAGAAAATATATCCCCACAGCAAGCAAGCAAACAAAGAAGCAAGTAGAATAGAATGTTTAACAATAGATATTTAAAAATTTGTAACAAAATTTTGTAATTTTTCTTTTTGCTAAGAAAATTCTATTTGATACTAGCTAAATAAAATGCTTTTAATATATATATATATATATATATTTAATTTCAAATTAAAACTATAGTAAATTTAGGTAAGTATAATTGCTAACCACATTTTTTTTTACTTAATGTATAATATTATATTGACCTTTTTCAACTTTATTTTTTTAAGTACTTACACAGAAGTAAAAAAATGTGGTTATGAATAAATTTTTTTCTTAATTTAGTTATAAATTTTACCCGTACATTATTTTTAAATTTTGAATAAAAGCAAACATAAAATAATTGATTGAAAATATGCTGCATTTGTTATATTTCTTTCTCTGTGTGTAAAAAAAAAAATTAAAAAATCACAATTTACATATATACAAATAATTAAAAACACAACCTATACATAATACGGATGAAACATTGAGTTTTTTTTTTTTAATATTCTAGAAAAAAATAAATTAGAGAATTGACATACTTTTCAAATTATTTGAAAAACTAACATACTTTTTGAAATCGCATTTTTAAAATGCGATTTTGAAATTAAAATTACATTTTTAACATGCAATTTTACCTTGAAATCGTAGGTTGAAAAATACAATTTCAAAAAATGAAGTCCATGTCGGCATAAATTGCATTTTCAACATACGATTTCAAGATAAAATTGTATGTTAAAAATGTAATTTCAATTTAAAATTATATTTTTAAAATGCCATTTTAAAAAGTAGGTTATTTATCTAAATAATTTAAAAAGTGTGTCAATTTTTTAAATTATTATTTTTTTTAAAGAATATTTATAAATTAAAAAAAAAACTCGTGAAACATTAGTTTACCCTATAATTTAAAAATAAAAGTGAACTTTTAAGCTCAGTTTGGAAAGAGAGGTTTGGAGTTTTTTTGGCTAAAATAATCACAAAAAATAAAATAATTTTTTTAGTTTAATAAGACAAAATATCATATCTAACTCATAATCATTATATTATTTCTTTCACAAAAAATTCAAAAAAATAAAAAAACCAAAACTCCTTTCCCAAACAAAATCTTTTTAATTCTAAATTAAGGGGTTGTTTGTGATGATCTAAATAAGTACACTTTTTGATTTTTTATGAAATATGAGTTGGGTTTGGGTTGGGTTTGAAGTGATGTATAAGAGAGGTGATGTGACTTAAATAAGATGATGTGACTTAAATAAGATAGTGACTTTTTAATTTTTTGTCTTTTTTAAGACATGCCAAACTTAACCTAAAATAATTAAAAAGTCAAAAGTCAAAAAGCCAAAAACAATCCACTTCCCGAACAAACCTTCGGACGGGTGGTCCAAGTATGTCCCCTCAAAAACGACGTCGTTGTTGTAGGAAACCGAAAAAAAAATTCTCTCGGTTGAATCAATACTCATTGATAGAGAGAGTGAGAGAAGAGGGAGAGAGAGAGAGGACGCGACTGAGAGAGAAGCCGCCGTCCGTCGTCGCCGGCACAAACGAACGCGCCTCCCGCCACCCACGAGGCTATACCACAAAGTTCCTTCAATATATTTGATTCAACCCAGGTTCTTTTCCCAAACTTGAAAAATTAGGATTTTGATTTCAAAAATTAGGGTTTTCTTTGAATGGTAATGTTAATAGAAGCTCGTTGAATGTGTTGATTGGGAGATTCCTAGCAAATAAAATACCTAATACTATTTTGATTTGGGGTTTTTTATCTGATTTATTTCAAATCTATTCTTGGGTAAAAATTAGGGTTTTAATTTGGGGGTTTATACATGATTTCTTTCAAATATTTTGTGTTGATTCTGCCTTTGTTAACCTGTTCTTCTGTATTTTTTTAAAAAAAAATAATTTCTCGATATTCATGTACAATCCATTCACTCTAGCTTTGAATAACTATGAATTTGTTTCAGTTTCAGTTTATTTATTTATTTTTTACAGCACCGTTTCTCAATATTCATATACAATCCATTTTTTGTTATTTTTTTTTACAGTAATGTCTCAATATTTGTTTCAGATACATTTTCAAAGCCTCTTGTTCTCCGGTTAACACCAATCAAATGAGGATGTAAAGTAAATTTTATTTTTAAGTATATTTTACACAGGCCTTGAGCACTACATGGTAGTAGGCAAGTGACCTCTTGAGGTCCTTTACATGGTCACGACCTTGGTTAAGAAGACTTTAGTTGTATCTTGATATCCCCGAAAGGAAATTTTTGTATGTCATACTATTGCAGTGGGTATTATTTTATTTTTATTTTTTTTGATCACCAACAAAAGATTTTATTGATAAATCAAAAAAGGAACAAGGATAAGGCATCCTCTTACAAAAAGAAACTGAAAATAAGAAATACATAAACCAAACAAAGTCTATCTCAAGCAAAAATCTGCATGTTACACACCAACAATCAATCTCTAGCTAACATAAAGAGTGGAACCCCCTTAAAGAGAGAATTCACTGAAGCCCAAAAAGAAGTTAAGCAACAAACTTTGTCTCACAACTAGTCCACTTCCTGAGATTTATCTTCGAACAACCGCGCATTTCTTTCCAACCATAGAACCCAAAAAGTTACAAAAACGGCACTGAAACTTTAATATTGCAAGTAAAGCAATCAATGGCTGTGGGTATCATGAGGTAGTTCTGAGGCTGGATTTCAGTTCTATTCGTGGATATATATATATATATATATGTATAGAGAGAGAGAGAGAGAGAGAGAGATCAGCATAAGAGAATTGAAAAGAAAAGAGTACTAGGTAAAAAATGATTCAATTATGATATATCTTTATGGAACTAAGGAGCATCAAATCAGAATTGTCAAATAAAAGTAGCCATTTTCTATTAATGTAATTATTCTCATCTCAAAGTTACTCATTGAATCATCAAGTAGAAATGAAAATAAACTGTAAGTAGAAATTTGATAGGAATGAACCTGTCATATATTATTTACTGAAACATTGATGTGCTCCCATAAATAAATGAATTACACCTAAGGGAATGACTTGTTCGATCTAAGCTTTAATTATCCCTTTTGAAGGGTTAATCAAATTACACTTTCTAATTCCTTATGTAGGAAATAGGACAAAATTGCTCACACTCTTATTCGCATTGTGCGTCAACCAACAGAGTTTTAGGCATGCCTGGACACGGGTCACCACCAAAAATTTTATATGATTGAGGAACGGTACATTTCCTCTTCCCTAGACAAGCCTGCAAATTAGGGTTCAAGAAAAATACTTGTGAATAAGCAAAAATAATCAATGATGCAAAGCAATATTTCTTTATATAACAAAAGGAACCTTGGTTACTAAGAAAATGGTGGAGTAAATAAGTTTTTGGATCCTTGTACTGATAATGAAAAGACAAATTTGTTTTCATGTTGCCAAGTTCCTCCTCTACGTCTACATTCTCGGAATTCAGGTAAAAATGTAGAGCAGAACTGTAAAAATTTGAAGACCATAAAATTTCCATCTAAACCACGAATCATATTAGAAGCCCTATTTTCTTCAATTTCCCGCAATTTCCTCAACAACTAGATGGAGCATGGTAGAATTAATTTGAACAATATACAATGAATAGCTTACCTTCTCTACGATGGCTCTAGAATTAGGGGAGTGACAGCTTCCAGTTGTGTAACTTCCACAGTCACCTGAAGGGCTTCCGAAGCTTGCAAATATAATCTTGGAAATGTTCTTTTTTTGAGGACAATTAAGTTGTACTTTAGATCTCCTGCCATGCTGCTTTTTCTTGTACATGCTACTAATTTGGTTGTTTGCTTTCCATGAAATTACTGGGGGTGGATGACTATTAGACACATGCCCACATACTTTTGTGATTGAAACAGTGCCTATGGAAATGTCAAGAGGGTTTCCATATTCTTCATCCAGTACAACTAATAGGTTGCCTGTAGGTGTAAGGAAAGATCGAGGTACATTGTACCTAAGAAGATAAAAGGTCATTCACAAGTTGTTGAGTTTATAACATATATATATATATATATTCATGGTAAGGGCTGCATAATACTTCTAACATGTTATCACAATATTGAGTTGGGGGCTCAGTTTATTTCATGAATCCTGAAATTTTTGGAAATGTAAATATGTATTTTGAGAGAATAAATATGGGGATTGTGAAAAGAAAACAAAAACTTTAATAGTGAAAAATTGTATCTATTTCACGTTTTCACTTGCTTGCATTTCGGCAATCTTATGATTGTAGAAATCATATTATATGAGAGCCTAGATTTTCTTCCTGTTATCTCTTCTCTTCTCTTTATTTCCCTTTGATGCTGGGTCAATTGCATATGAAAGTAGTACTTTGTTGAATAGAAGTTCCGAATGTATTTTCGAAGTATTTACCATGTTTGTGTAGGAGTCCCTGCAGGGGTAAGAAATGAGATCCAATATCGACCTATACTTTGGCCATTAACCCAAGCTTCACCTTTCCCCATGGAACCAAGGCTTAATACAACGGGGTCAGTACCCCCAGGTGCATCAAATGTAGTCTGTTAAAGTAGCAATGAACCACATGGTTAGTTCATATTAAAGTTTCAACAACATTGCATTGAACAATAGAGACGACCTATCATATATTTTTATCTTGACTATGACTTCAACTATCGAACAACGTGAAAGATGTCAACACAACTTTGATAGAAAACCTATCATTTACTAAGTCATCATGCGTCTGTGCACCGAGTAGAAAAAATATGTCGCCTATTATATTCATTAACTTAGAATTGAAATGATATAATGAATTGATTACTATACTAAATCATTTTTGTTGGACATCGTGAAACAATTATAACCATAGGCATATATAAAATTTATCCCTTGCTCTCTGTTCTTGTCGATCATGTTGTGGAAACAAGAGTTTGGACCAGGGGTTAGACTATGATGATCAACCTAGATCTCTTTGCGACTATGGCATACTAAGAAGCACAGACATACGACACAACACGCGGGGGACACGTGCAAAACATATAATTTTTATATATTTATTATGTCATATTTTTTAATATTATATATTTATTTTATGTCAAATATTTATTCTCATCAAATTCATTAATCTTGGGTATGCTATTCCGGTGGAAAAAAAATTATAAAAAAAATAAATAAAATGGAACACAGGCTAATTCGTTCAGTGTGTCCAACACGGGGTTGGAGTGTGTTCATGTCCAACACATGTTAGACATCGATATTTGACCTCCAGAGAGGTGTGTGTGCTTCATAGATAGCAATCCTTGGAGCACATGCACTAAAATGAGTTGAATCACCTGGAACACACAAATGCCATGTAGTGTTTATGATCATCTTAATAGTCATCTCATCAAACTAATTTTATTTTACATTAATGCCACTTTTGACTCTCCTATTTGACTATAAACTGCATAAAAATTAGAATCGAGCCCACCACCACAGTGATGCAGAGAAACAAAATCCTATTATTTTTCATTTCAAATTATAATGCAATACATTCATTAAATAAGGAGCATAAAGCTTCTACTTACCTTATACCATGTGAGTGGCTGTGAAGAAGAGTTATATGTACTCCATTGAACTTTACTCGATCCATCCTTTGTGTAGACTTGTAGTTTCTCTCCAAGCAATCCAACCTTCATGAATTGGTTTGTAACAATTATATATTTGTTCTGCTTCCATTTAGTGACAGTTCTACAGAATTTAGCATGGTGGCTAATAATGGAATCAAATCTCTAGAATTTTTTGTATCTCTACATGGCATAGGAAGGATTAGGGAAAAGAGTGGGTAGTCAGTGGTGAGTGAAAATAAGATTAAAATGAGAACCTTGAGAGCACAAAATAAGGTTGACAATGACTTGAGGTTAAGATTAAATTTTCATATTACTAAAGCTAGCCTTGAGATTTTAGCCAAAGTTTTCAGAGACTCAAATCATTCAAAATTTTAAAAATTACTATTTGGGCATGATTGATTGAGGGGAAAGAATGGGTGTGCAAATAAAATTTGAAAGGGGAATTAAAAAGATAAGATTCTTGAGAGTATAGAAAATGAGGTTGAGACTCGATGAATGATAGAATTTTGTTATGATAAAAAGATTTTTAATATTTACAAAATTGATCCTTGAAATAGGGATACAAATTGTGAATCATTATATGCGATAAAGTCAATGAGAATTATTTAATCCTAAAAAACCAACAAGGTTAGATAGTTATTTTCCAGAGTTTTTTTTTTTTTTTTAAAAAAAAAAAAAGAATTAGAAAAACACTTTTGAAGCATAAAGAGTAGTGGAGCAACAAGTGAATTAATAAAGCAAAGCAGGAACAAGCATTTTGGTGGTTAGAAGTTGATCACCTGATATCCCCATGGGTGGTTAGTGAAATTTTGAATATCTTGGTTGGATGAAATTATCACATCACTTAATCCCGCTTTCTTACGCTCAAGAAATGGCCCTGAATCCTTTACATCACAAATGAAAGGGAACTATCAATCTTATATAAAAGCGACAAAATCATATTTATGTTTCCATCTGCTGATAGAAATAACATTAACTACAAGAGATGAACAGGGTTTGGAAGCAACTTGAACAAAAGATAAAGTTCAGCTGAGTATTTTGTCAGGTTTGTTAGATGCTACACTTAAATATATTTCTCTCTTTTTATCCTTTTATGGCCTCGTTCGGGAAGTTTGCTATTTTAGTAGGCTAGTTTAGGTTTTGGCTATTTTTGTAGGTTAAAATATTTGTGTTTGGGAAGAAGGTTGGATTTTTTTGTAGTTGGATGTGATGTTTGTGAGAGAAAAAGTGAAATGATTATGGGTTTAATGTGATATTTTGTCTTATTGGTTATTTTAGCCAATTTTGTCTTTTGTGATTTTTAGCCCAAAAAAAGCCTAAAATTGGCTTCCCAAACACCCCCTATATATGTATTGCTAAATCTTCTTCTTGTACTGAATATCTGTCCTTAGGTTGGTTAAATTTCATTAACATTCAGAAGTACTTTTTGATGATCTTGCTTGCTTTGTCACTAATGCATTATAAGATTGATGAAAGTATGTACAAAAATAAAAAAAAATGATTGAAGATTGAGATTGAACAGTACCAGTAATCCACTCATTACGCTTAGTAAGGAGACATTGTTTATTCCACTGTTTAAAGAAACTTTGTTGAGCAGGTTAACATTTGTTCTACGAGTTCCATGGGCAGATCCTAAAGAACAAATGAGAAGTCCAACAGTTAACTATGCTACAATCTGATAAAGAAAATAAAGTAAAACATTGTCAAAAGTTTTTGATGTCCAGAAAATACAGAGCAATATGTGAGCGCCCAGTCAAAAGGAGATGAATATATTATATGGAAATATTATGTGGGAGATTTTATTATTTTAATATAACAAGTTTAAAATTTCAGCGAAACAAGTTTTTTTTATTTGAAATGCATGATTGCTTTACTCATATCCTTTGAAAATCTGTTATGTTTCATGCGTGTATATTGCAATATACAATTGCAAATAAAATGCATGTTTTTGTGTACTCAACAATTATAAACCAAGAGGACATAACTTAATTATTGAAGGCACAGAGCTTACCTACGAGTGGTCCATTGACAAATGCACGCACGACATGTCCAAGAGAGGTCACATTAAGTACAAGCTGATCATTATTAGAATCTTGCTGAAATCTACAAATACACATTATAAAAAGCATTTTATTTGATAAGAAGTGTTCTTGTAACAACTATATGTTTCATATATCAACGTCTGTTGTCATTTGTATCTCACATATAAATCTGTAAATCTTAATCAGCACATAATTTTAAAATATAAATGCATATAAACTAAGGAGCACGGACACTTCTATGGAGGAGGTGTGCGGTGTCGGACATGACACTCTGTGGACACTCCTAAAAAGCGTGTCCAACACTTTGTCTTAATAAAAAATGTAAATGCATAATATTGGACATTTTACTAGCACTTTGCTGACACTTCTTGAACCCTCTGAACACGATCTGTGTGATGAATTTCTTCAAATTAACAATGTTCTATATTTATTCTCAATATGTTTTAAAAGACTTACAAGATGATTCATCATGTGTATTTCTATATTTTCCAATTATTTTGCATTTTTTAGATTGTAATTGTTACCTAAATGATATTTTGGATAACCAAACCAAGCCTTAAGTCCCATCACCTAAATGATATTTTGATGCTTAAGTTGTTTTAATTAGTGTTATTTTTTTCATTTTAATTAATGTTATTTTTTGTCCATTACCTTTGAATAAACTATTTATATATTTCTCATATAATAAATTTATAAAAATGTAATTATTAATGTGTCCCAAACATGTGATGTCCTGCATTTTTTCAATATCGACATGTTGTTGTGTCACTTGTCCATGCCTATGCAATTTAGCATATAAATACTAGTTACCATTATCTAAAACAAAAACTATATCACAAATAGCTGGGAAGTCAGAGGCGAGAAACTTTTATTGGCTACATGGAAACACTCCCTTTCATAAATCAGTACTTTCCTCTCCTAAAATCGGCACGCATCATGTAGATATGCAAAAACACTTTTTTTAAGAGTTTTGCACTCTGAGTTGAGTTGAAATTTCAGATCTAAGAAGCAATAGAATAAAATCTTAGTTTACCTGAAAGTGTACCAAAGATAATCAGATGCATCTTTTGTGGTGTTCATTTGCTCTAATAATGCCCTCGACCTCAATGAGGTTGAAGCACGGATACTTCAAAAAAGGTGACGTATCCGTATCGGATACTTATCGGATACCGATACTCCTCGGATACTCGCGGATACGTATCGGATACTTCTTAAAAGTATCGGATACTTCTTAATTAATTTTTTATTAATTTTGAAGTATCGGATACTTAATTTTGAAGTATCGGATACTCGAAGTTACATATAAGTGCAAGTGCAAAATTTGATTTTGTGTGATATTCAATTTGTTTCATTGAAATATCTTAATCTGGAACTTATAATTAAACAATGAACTACCATTTTTTGTTTGAACCTTTTAACTATATTCTGTACATTATACTAATGAATAAAATTAAAAATATAGGAGTAGTGGAAAATGATAAACTCTATCAAACAATTTCAGAACTTGCCTTGGCAGTGTTGAAGGCTACGGTCTTGCAGTCAGGTAAGATGCTAAACTCTGTCAAACAATTTCAAAAAATGTGGTTAGTGATCCAGTAAGTAAAGTCTCTGAACATAGCTTTATTGCAGCATGTAACTCTTTGAGATGACCCCATTTTGGTTGCCTAATTAGGCCTGAATTATTCAATATTGACACATCAATTTTTGCTTAGAAACTATAATACCAGGGTAAGTCAAATATTTGATAACATACCGTATTCATCAAGAGGAGCTAGATCATAATAACTTGTTGGTATATAATCTGAGGCTGTTCTTCCAAAATTTGTTCCTCCATGATACTAGGGGAAAAATTAAAAAATGATTCCATTAAATGAAGTAAAATTTAGAAGCTTGTGTCAGTAGGTTAGTTATTTTAGGTGAGCTGGAAAATATAGCAGTTTAGAGCTTCTTATTATCATAGAGCTTGCTACTTGTACATTACCATATAGTAATTGACAAAGCTCCCATACTTCCTTGCAATGAATAGTGCAACATGAAATGCAATGTCCTCAGGTGACCTTGTTTTTATATTCTCGCCGTATTTGGTGAATCTTCACAGGAAAACAAAGACAGAAGATAACTTATAAGATGTGGTTAATCTTTTTGAGTTTAGCTGTTAGTAACTGTGCTTTCTTCTGTATAACTTTTTTTAGTGACATGATTCTATTATTTGTTGCAAGTATAGGACACAAATGCATAATTTTACAAGTGAACATTTAGAAGTTTTAGTAGGCACATACTGAGTTGTCCAATTCTCAGTCCAGATTGCTGGCTTGTTTGGTGAGTTTGGTCCCACAAATGTTTCTCCACATCTCATCCCATTGCATGTATTGATCTGCAAATTGAAAAAAAAATCCATTAATCCGATCTGAAATAACATTTATGATCTTACCACATCTTGATCTATATCAATAATATACGTTCCAGGTAAAGAGCACTAACCACGGGATCAGGAGCATCAATTTGCTTGCACATAGTCCATGGCACTCCAGTTTGAAGTCCCACAGCCATTTGTGCTGCCCAACGAACGTAAGCCGGCCCTTTCTCATGAAAGGCCCCTTCTATAGTTTGGTACTCGTTCTCGATCTGCATGTTCAACAAAAAGAAAATCTATGAACAAATATTTTTGCTAATTATAGTTCTCTCAACACTGCATTCATCCAATGGAGTGTGGGCCCTATTCAGATGAATCGGATGCTGTAAACACTGCATTATGTACATTTAAAAAAAATCGGTTTCCTATAAACAGAACATAAATCTACATTTTCATCAAAACACTGCATTATGTGCATTTAAAAAAAATCGGTTTCCTATAAACAGAACATAAATCTACATTTTCATCAAACAGTAAATCTACAAACGCAAAATTTTTCACAAAATGCAGTAGCATTTATCCAATAGAGTGTGGGCCTCATTCAGATGAATAGGATGCTACTGATGTTGCATTATGCGCCCTTCGCTAGAAATTTGTGTTCCTGTAACAGAATATGCAAAAAAACAAACTTATTCACGGTATTCTGTGAATAAGTTGATTTATGGATTCCCAGTAAAATGTTGACACATCAACAAAAATATGAAAAAGGTGGATAAAACAGTTTTTAAGACTTATATTAGCATAGAGTTTTTAAAAAATGTGGGAAACATCATTCAAACAGTATCGCTTACAAACAAGAATACACCAATTTAACCTTGGTTTAAACTGTTTGAGTGAGTCCCATTAAATTTGGTGGGTTTCTTTTTGGCTTATTGGGATTTTTTAAGTTTGTTTCCCACGGTACACAAATTGTACTTAAGTATATCTTGCCGCATAATTTTATTTACATGTCAACATTTTATTGAGAATTTGTAAACTAGTTATTCACGGGACAGCTGTGAATTTTATCTCATTTGAAAATATTAAGCAATACAAACTTTTTTGCCACATTCTTAACCTGCGACAGTATGATAGGCCCTCCCTGTGAAGCATATAATCCCTCAGACTTCATCATGTTGACTATTTTCGTCGTGAAGTTTTGCATGTAAAACTGCCATTATGAAACCAGTTAGTCCATATTGAAATGTGAATGTCCAGTTGGGATGAGCTGTTCAGAGATAGAAGTGATCAACACCTTGAAGGGCTCATTATCGGATCGATACACAATGCCTGGAATGTCGTGCAACCAGAATGGTAGGCCTCTGCAACAACATAGCTAACTATTTGAAGCTTGTTGCAAATGTGAAAGTCTAAATTACTTTGCATGAAATCTTTGGTTAGTATAGTATGTGGTGCCCAAATGGAGGCAAAATTGCACAATTGATGGCAAATGCGTCCATTTGATAAAAGTTGTTTTCTTCTTCATAAACGCGTACAAAATGCAATGTTGACAATATCTTATTCACATGATCAAATGTTTGCATATGATCAATCGAATATCATTGATACTGAACAAGGTTTGATACAATGGCCCCTTTGTTTGTTTGGTACAAATAGCTGTGAATTTGTTAGTCTTGTTGTTGATCAAAGTAAGTGTTAAGTTACCCGTAAGTCCATTCACTTTCAATGAAGGGTCCGATCCTAAGACTTGCGTACAGGCCTTGTGTTTGGATTTCTTTGATGAACCTTACTAGATCACGTCTTCCACTGAAATCATACTGCAATATGAGTATGAAGCAAATTAGCATAATGTGGTGATATATATATATATATATATATAGAGAGAGAGAGAGAGAGAGAGAGAGAGAGAGTACGAGTACCTGTCCAGGTTGGGGCTCATGGAGGTTCCAAAAGACATAGGTTTGTATTACATCTAATCCTCCTGCTTTGGCTTTAGAGATCAGGGATGGCCACATCTGCAAAACAAACCAAACCATTCCATTCTTACATGACACATAGAGCCTATTTGATTTGCAGGATTACTAGAGGGGATTAACAATTTATGAGATTAGTGTAGAATTAGTTACGCAGCTGCATTAGTGAGATACATAATTCTCTTTTATGTACGGTTGTTTTGCAATAGATATGGAAATATATAATTTCAATTATATATGTTTTGTGTTATTAGTTATAGGATTAAAAAATTGTTAATTTTGTTAGATAACTATTGGAATGTAATTCGAATAATTAAATTTGCAACCAAAATAATAGAATGTGAATCCCATAGATTCATAATCTTAATTCTATGTTATAGTTTGCCTAATCAAACATAGCACATAAACTTTAGTAGGAAAATTTGTAAGTTTGTGTGTACTCCCATCATTGTTTCATTAGCAATTTATTATGGTTGACTTTTCAAAAAATGATTCAGTTTGATCACTTTGTTGACTTTAGGTTTACGTATTTATGATCGGATTAAATAGAAAATAGTGGAATTTGAAAATTTACTCTTTTACATTTCTAAATAATTTTTCCTTTTGTGACCCATCTATCATAAGTAATTTAGGAAAAAAAGTGATCTCGTCATCTCAAACCACTGAATAATTACTCCAACTTTTCATCTAAGGAGCCTTTTTTTCCATGCTTTCTTGCCCACATAACAAACATCATGCATGATGGTTAAAGCTGCCTCATCTACTTGTGTATGTGGGATAACTAACGGTTGTGTTTGCAATTTTACAGATATCTTTAAATGATGGGTTTTGTTAACAGAAATGTACCTAACTACTCCACTATTATGAAAAAAAAATAATGCGATAACTATGGCTATGTTTGGTATTGAGGGTAGGGTTATTTTAGTTATAAAAAGATAAAAGAGGTTAAAAAGATTAATAAGATAAAATGTCATATTTAAATCACAATTATTTCACTTTTGTTTCACAAAAGTTAAAAAAGTCAAAAAGTCCATCCCAAATCAGACTTTTTAACTTAGGTTAAAATAGTCAAAAAATTAACCCACTTCTATATTGGGTTAAAGACTAAAAATTACCCTTTTTCTATTTTGATATATATATATATATATATTTGTGTAAATTACACCGACACCCTCTGAAGTTTCTATTTAATAAATCTCTCTCTCGTTTGAAAAATTACACTTATTCCTGTTAGATTAAAATGACATATTTGTCATTTAGTCTTTATACATATAAAATAATAAAATAATGTTGATATTTTATTCATGTCATTTTAAGATAAATAACAATCATCTTTTTTAATTTAACTCACACGAAAAATTGAATTTTTTTTATTTTTATTTTTTTGTGTTTTTTTTTTATTTTATTATTTTTATTATTTTTTTTAATATTTTAAGCAATTTTTTTCTTATTTTTTAGATACACCTAATCTAAATATATTTGAGAAATATAATATTTTGTGATTTTTTTTTAAAATTCATCAAATACAAAAAAACATAAAAATACAAAAAATTAATAATACTATAATAAATATGAATGACGGTATTTGGTAATACTGTAATAAATGTGATGAATAGACGAGAAAGAAAAATGATGCTGGAAATAAAAAAGAAAAATTCTATTCATATGTAAAAAAATTATACAAAAAATATTATAAAAATGTTGTAATAATGATGTTGTAAATATAAATAATATTTATGAATGTTTTGTTTTAAAGTGAAAGGTCACCATTAAACTATATAATTATGTTTGAAAATGTTATATAAAACTTATGTTTGTATATCATCACTCAATAAAAATATGTTTAGGTAGGATTTAATGATAAAAAATTATAGAATGTAGTCATGATGATGGAAAGAAGAAATGGTAGAAAAAAAAGGCAAAATGATCATTTAAAAAATTTTAAGGTATGATATCAGTAATTCAGGAGTAATTTGTAATGAGATTACAAATTTCAAGGAGAAAAATATAATTTTTCAAACGTGAGAAAGAATTTATATTAAATAGAAATCTTAGAAGATATCAGTATAATTTATCCTATATTTTTTAACTTTGTGTTAAATGGTTTCACCGTCTCCCCCAATATATATATATATATATATTTTCTTTTACCACACAATATTACACCAATATTATTATATCAATACATATATATGTTTTTTATTGCCACATATATCAATATATATTTTGGCAACATGATATTTTAATAAGCATATCCTTATCACCAAAAAAATCCATTCTTTGATCTAATGTCATATCTCTCATAGAATTTGACTTACAATCAATAAACCTTATATAAAAATGTATTGCTATAAAACTATTAAAAGTAAAGTGTCGGTTTTAAAAATTAAAAATTGAGTAAAAAATATATCAATAAAGATAAGAATAAACCATATATATATATATATAAAAGCTTAACAAAAACTAGCTCATTTTTTTGTTTTTTCTAATTTTTTTCGAAAAAAATCCAGAATTTTAGATTTTAAAATTGTTACATTTAACTTAAATCTATTACAGTTGGAAGGTTTTAGGATGACGGAAAAAGAAGAGAAAAAACACAAAAGGGACAAAATAAAAATGAACAAATAAATAAATAAGGATATTTTTAATTTTTTACAACCAGATAATTATTGCATTTACTTTTTCCCATGATAGTGAAGTTAGACATATTTAATACCTCCTTGTTAACAAAACTCTTAAGGCTCGTTTGTTTTCAAAGATAGAATAGAAGGGATTCATAATATGAAGATTAATAGTGAAAAAATTAAATAAAATTGTGTTTGTTTTGATAATAGTTGTTGGTATAAGAATTATTAAATTACTTTTATATAAAATAAATATAAAAATACAAAAATATTAAATATTAATGTTCAAAAAAAATACCCAAAATGTAAAAAATAAAAACAAAATAAAAAAATAGAAAAAAAATTAAACTATGATTTTTACTTAACAAAAAATACAAAAAATGAAACATTAATGTTAAAAAAATAAAAAATAAAATTAAACTATTTAAATTATTCAAAACTAGTATCTTTATTATTTTGTTTGTAGAGTTTGTTGTATTAGTTGTCTTTGATATTGTTGACTTATGGTGTCAATTAATGTCTCGACCTCGGGTTTATATCCTTTATTTTATTTCTCATGTACTTACAAGTTATTTTTATATTTGTACTTAATGGAGTTCCACAAAATAAAATTTAACAAAACACATAAATATTATTATTATTTTTTAATAATCTACATCATAAAAATAAGAATAAGTTTTAATTATGAAGTAGATTGGTAGAATATCCTTTTAAACAGCTATATGTAAAGATTTATTGATTATATTTTCCTTTCTTTCTTCTGAATAAACCACATAAATGTTACTTGAAATCATGACTTAAAAATGTGGTAAACCTTAATGAGTCATGATATTCGTCACAAAAAGGTAGGTTTACCTACCCAAGGCAGTGGCAATTGAATGATCCAATTTTTCTCTATTTTCACAGTTTCCCTATATTTTATTCATCTCAATTTATAATGAATCCAAATCAGTGTGTTTGGTTTGAGTTTTTTGAGTTTAGTTTTTTGAAAACTGAATTTTTTAGTTTTCGTGTTTTTTTATTTTTAGTGAATTTTTTTAAAATTTTAAATATTTTTTTTACTTTTTTAGATGGACCTTATTTAGATGTATCCAAAAGATAAAAAATTTGTGAAAAAATATTTTTTAAAATTAATAAATATATAAAAATACGAAAAATATACTGAATTTTTATTTTGTTTTTGTTTTTGTATTTGTATTTTTGATATTTAGTGAATTTTTTAAAGATTTTTTCACGAAAATTATACTTTTTAAATGTTTATGTTAGGTGTGTCTAAAAATTAAAAAAGAATTGCTTAAAATATTAAAAAATTTGAGTAAAAACAAAAAAAAAAAGGAAAACAAGAAAATTAAATATTTTGAAAATTGTTTTCAAAAAGCTGGAAACAAACATGTTAAATTTAATTTTAATCCCTTAAAATCAATATTGTTCCATTTAAAAAAAAAAAATTGACAACCCATATTATCCTTGTAAATTGTACTTTAAAAAAAATACACAAAACAAAATTTGTTAAAATAGAATTTGACAGTGACCGGTGATATTTTCCTAATTCTTAACTTTTTACATATAACATTGTTATAATTTGTTAATTTGGTGAATTTATACTTTAATTTGATTGCTTTAATAGTATTAATTAATTGGGTCATATGAATTATTAAAAAAATAAAAATAAATGTGTATCACTTAATAATAGAAGTCTAATAAAAAATGTGTAACTTCATTTAGTTTGATTTTGGCCTGTTAAGTAGGGGTGCTCGCGGATCGGTTTTTGACAGTTCGGTTTGTGGTTTGGACTCTCCCGTATGTCTACGGTTTGGGAAAAATTGAATCGGCAACCGCCTATAATGTGGGTTGTTGTTTGTGCGGATACGGTTCGCGGATGTATGAGCGGTTGTAGATGGTTTGCGAATTAAACTTTTTCCATTAAAAATTTATTTTTTAACTTATTTTTTCTCATTTTTTAAATATTTTTAATTGCGGAAGGTTCAACACTATTATCTATTAAAGTTGGATTACAAAAAATTACAATGAAAATTAAATAAAAACAAACATAAAAAAAAAATTACATAACTAGATTTGCAAAAAATTAAAAAAATTCCAACTGAATAATAAGAATTTTAAATAAGGCAGTGTGTGATATTATTATAATGTTATAATGTTAGAGCTTACAAGTTTGATAATCAAATTAAAGTGAGTGAGAGAACAGAAGATTAGAGTTACATACTTACAAAATTTACAAGAAAATGTGATGGTCCAGATTTAAAAAAGAAAAAAATTTGACACAAATTTAAAAATTAAAAAATCACTAAAAATAAATAAATAAATACATAAATGAATAAAGGTTGAGACCTCCTTTGGGAATCACCCCCTTGACTCCCTTTAGTTTTGATTGGTCAACTTTTCCTCTTTTTTTTTTTTTTCTCACCCAATCCCCAACCTCCATGTGTGTGGGGGGGTTGTGGGGGTGAGTGTTTTAAGGAGGTCTAAATCAATGCCATTTAATTATATTATTTTGCATTTTTATTTAATTGTTATTGGTGAGTATACTTGGGGGTGTTTCGGGAATATAGTTAAAAATTACTTTTTGATTTTTTTTAATTTTTTTGTGAGTAACTTTTAATCCACTTTCCAAAATAGGCCTTAAGTCCAAAAAATTGGGCACCCAAGTTGTTGGAGTGCAGAGCATTTATTTAAGCCATTCCTTTAATTTGTTAACTATTGCCTTCCAAGTTAAAAAAATATCTCAGTCTCCAACCACTCAACAATGTGCTGGTCGTATTACAAATCAAGAATGATCAAATACTACCACGTAATATTATCGTTACATCTAATATTTACTCTTTATAAAAATCAAAAGTGATATTTATTTCTTTTCTGTACTAAGTCCACAAATTAATGAATGTACATCACTTTTTTTATGGTGACATGATATCTTAGACATTCTTAGGATGGATGATACGCGAACCAACTAATGTATAACTAGGGAATCCTTTTGATACACACTCCTCCAAAGTATATACAATATGCACATTGTTACATATTTTTGTGATATATATTACATATTTTTATGATAAATGTTACGTAATTTTGTAGTAGAGTTACAATAATTTGTGGTTTAGAAATAATGTTACTCATTTTTTTAAAAAAATGCATAACATTATCAAAAATATGTGTAACTTCATTTCTGAACTATAAATTGTCGTAACTCTACCACAAAATTACATATTATTTATCACAAAATTACATAACATATACCACAAAAATATATAATAATGTGTATATAGT